AAAAAAAAAAAAAAAAAAAAAACCTCTCTGTACCCCATCTGCCAAGTAGGAATAACAATAGGATATACCCTAATGAGATCATTACAAAGGTTAAATGACTTGTATAATAGAAAAACATTTAGAATAGTGCCTCGTACCTAGTCAGTAATATATAAATATTGGATAAATAAAGTAGGCTGGTTGTGGTGGCTCATGCCTGTAGTCCCAGCTCTTGGGGAGGCTGAGGCAGGAGGATGCATTGAGCCCAGGAGTTCAAGGCTATGGTGAGCTATGATCACACCACTGCCCTCTAGCCTGGGCAACAGAGCAAGATCCTATCTCAAATAAATAATGAGGGAAGTGGCTTCTGTCCACCCCATTATAAACTCGGAAAGGCAAAAATTCAGCCTGAAGATAGAGTTTCATGATGACACATACTGCAGTAAAACATAAGCCAGAAAATGGAACTGTTGGCAGTGAATTTACTGTTGGGATATTACAGATTGATTATAATATATGAAATAGATTGGCTAAGGCCAAGAGAACAGATTGACGTCTAGAAGGCACTGATGGAATTTTCCTCTAGAAAGAAGCTCTGCCCTCACAATATGGGCTTTCTGTCTCCTCAATGGCGGTAGGGGAATTGGAGGGCATAGCAGATACTTTTGCCAGGAGATAAGAGGACCCATCCTTCACTCATATCAAAGGAGAAACTTGTAACACAGCCTCTCTGAGTTCCTGGCAGTGCACCCAAGGCCAGGGGGCCGGCCTGCTGGGTTCAAGATATAGAGCGAAAACCATGACTGACGTTGGGTGGAACAAGGGCCTGTCTCTAATTGGTGAGTTAGATAGTCCTGGGCAGGAGGCCAAGTAAAACTTGGCTTGGCATCATTCCCCCTCTTCAGATCCATCTATCTTTGGTCACTTAAGTTAAACCCAAAGCAGCATCCATTATCTGCCTTTTCTTCACTTTGGCTTCCCGTTCCTTCCAGAACACCTTTTTCCTTTTCCTGCCGAGTAACTCTGGTAGAATGGAAAGGTCCGATGTCTTCATTCCAGGTAAACATTGGATTTTATCTTGCCTTTTAATGCACTCAGTCTTGGTTCATTGTTCCAATATCCATGGCCTATGCATAGTCACCTGGGTGGGTCTCCAGAGGACGTGGATTCTGTTTGCTTGGTTTGACTTGAAGGTACATCACTCGGCGCAATTACTTATTAAAAGGGATTTGATTATAACTGTGTTGAAAGACCATTTCTAGATAAGGGTCTCATCTGTTGATGAAGTTTCATCCACTTTTCCTTTTGGTTTCCTCAAGCTCTTTTTAGCTACATTGGAAAACAAATACCCTGAATTAAGAAATAATTGATATTGAACTAACCTCCCTGATCATTCTCTCCCTAAATGGCCTGAATTCTCTGTGGAGTGGTTAAAAGCAGGGGCTCTGGAGTCGCTACATTTTATCTACAATACTTTGCTAGCTGTGTAGCATTGGGCTAGTGGCAAAACTTCTCCAAAAAATGTAAACTTCATCTGCAAAATGGAGCTATTTCATAGAGCTCTTTTGAGATTAGAATAAAATAAAAATAACACAGGTAAAGCATTCATCACATTGCTTGACCTGTAGTACACATTCACATATCAGCCTTGACAGCTGCATTTAAATTTGGAATTGTTTTGCTGATTTGCATTATCTTTCTAGGGCAAATTGATTAGCCTGTCCACCCCACTGTAAACTCTGAAAAGCAAAAATGCATTTAATTTTTAATCACTTTTGAGACATTAAAAATTTTGCTGACTGGGCGGCGCCTGTGGCTCAAAGGAGTAGGGCACCGGCCCCATACGCTGGAGGTGGCAGGTTTGAACCCAGCCCCAGCCAAAAAAAAAAAAAATTTTTTTTGCTGACTTATGTATACCAACCAGTGACTCTCAAAATTTCTTAGACCACAGGCTATCTCTATAAAACAAAAAAATATATTCCATGGAATAGTAAATTTATAATTTCTATTTATCTCTGCAAAGAAATAACCAAAATTAAATATGTTCTAAGAAAATAATTTGGTCAGGTGCAGTAGCTCATGCCTTGTAATCCTAACACTCTGGGAGGCAGAGGCAGGTGGATCGCTTGAGCTCACAAGTTCAAGGCCAGCTTGAGCAAGCGTGAGACCCCTGTCTCTACTAAAAATGAAAAAATGAGGCAAGAGGATTGCTTGAGCCGAAGAGTTTGAGCTTGCTGTGAGCTATGATGCCATAGCACTCTATCATGAGCAACAAAGTGAGACTCTGTTTCAAAAAAAAAGAATGCAAAAGAAATGTAGAATTCAAGAGAATTGTATATATCATATAAATGTAGATATGATATATACAATTGGCCCTCTCTAGCTACAGTTTAACCAGTCAGGGATGCTTCATATGGCTTTTTCAGAATTTGGAAATTCTGTGGTTACAGAGAGCCTACTTTTCATATTTGTGAGCTCAGCAAGGCCAGCTTCCTGGGATTTAAGCATTTTGGTATCCAGAGGGGTCCTCAAACCAATCCTGACTGTGGATACCAAGGGATGGCTGTGTGTGTGTGTGTATATATAATATATATATGTGTGTGTATGTGTGTGTGGTGTATACTGTATTTTTACTGTATCTTTTCTATGTTTAGATATATTTAGATGCACAAATATCTTTGTGTTACAATTGCTTACAATATTCAACATAGTAACATGCTGTCTGGCTTTATAGCATAGGAGCAATAGGGGACAATCTTAGGGGACTGATCCCTTAACCTGTGGGATCTCCAGGAACATGGTGTCAGAACTAAATTGAATTAAAGGACACCCAGCTGGTGTCTGCTGCAGAATTGCTTACTTGGTGTATGGTGGAAAACCCACATGTGTCTGATGGCAAAGAGTCATGCTGAGTGACTATATTAGAGAATTAGGGGAAAAAAATTTTGATCTCCTCCCCAATACCTGAGACATATATCTCCTGTTTATAGTAACTCTATACAATAGTAAAAAAAAAAAAAAAATAGAAAAATGTATTATTGTAGGGTAACAGCTAAATTAAGTGTGACATAGAATGATTGGAATCTTTTTTTTTTTTTTTTTGAGACAGAGCCTCAAGCTGTCACCCTGGGTAGAATACTGTGACATCACAGCTCACAGCAACCTCCAACTCCTGGGCTCAAGCAGTCTCCTGCCTCCGTCTCCCAAGTAGCTGGGACTACAGGTGCCCGACACAACGCCTGGCCATTTTTTGGTTGCAGCCATCATTGTTGTTTGGCAGGCCCGGGCTGGATTCGAACGCACCAGCTCAGGTGTATGTAGCTGGCGCCTTAGCCGCTTGAGCCACAGGCGCCGAGCCTGGAATCTTTAGTTATTAAAATCAATAACTATTGCCTCTTTCGCGTCCTCGCTTCGAAGATGACAAAGAAAAAAAGGAACAAGGGTTGTGCCAAAAAGGGCCGTGGCCATGTGCAACCTATTCGGTGCACGAACTGCGCCGTTGTGTTCCCAAAGACAAAGCTATAAAGAAGTTCGTCATTCGGAACATAGTGGAGGCCGCAGCTATGAGAGACATTTCTGAAGCGAGTGTCTTCGACACCTATGTGCTTCCCAAGCTCTATGTGAAGCTACATGACTGTGTGAGTTGTGCTATTCACAGCAAGGTAGTCAGGAACCATTCTCGGGGAGCCCGCAAGGACCCAACACCTCCACCCAGACTTAGACCTGCGGGTGCTGCCCCACGACCTCCACCAAAGCCCATGTAAGGAGTTGAGTTCTTGAGGACTGAAGAATAACTATCCTTTGGGATAAAATAAAATGGAAATTACACTTAAAAAAAATTAATGACTATTAACATGGGTATTACAAAATGAGTGAAAAAATAGTCATATATGCAATCATGATTATGTATAAACTATTTGATATATTAATTTATGCAAGTTTAACCCGCTTTGACTTATAAAATTTTGAACTTTTACAAGAATGCATATGTGTTACTTGGGTAATTAAGGGATAGGCCAGGTGCAGTGATTCACACCTACAATCCTAGCACCTTGGGAGGCCAAGGCAGGAAAATCACTTGAGGCCAGGAATTTGATACCAGCCTGGGAAATAATAAAACCTACTCTCTACAAAAAAATAAAAATGTTATCTGGTATGTAGGCATACACCTGTAGTCCCAGCTACTGGGAAGGCTGAGGCAGAAGAATAGTTTGAGCCCCAAATTTTGAGATTACAGTTAGTTATGATCATGCCACTGCACTCTACGCTGGGCAGACAGAGTAAGACCCTGTCTCAAAAAAAAAAGAAAAAATGCTAAAGAATATATAAATATTGGCTGGCACAGTGGCTCCTGCCTATTATTCTAGCACTCTGGGAGGCCAAGGAGGGTGGTTGCTTGAGTTTAAGAGTTTGAGACTAGCCTAAGCAAGAGAGAGACTCCCATCTCTAAAAAATAGCTGGTGTTGCAGTGGGGTCCTGGAGTCCCAGCTAACTCCAGAGGCTGAGGCAAGAGAATCACTTGACTGCCCGCCCCCAAAAAAGAAAAAAAAAGTGTGTTTTTATTTATTTATTTTCTGAGACAGAGTCTCACTTTGTCATACTTGGCAGAGTGCCATGGCATCATGGCTCACAACATCCTCAAACTCTTGGGCTCAACTGATCCCCTTGCCTCAGCCTCCTGAGTAGCCAGGTGCCTACCACAACACCTGGCTATTTTTTTAGAGACGAGGTCTTGCTCTTGCTCAGTCTGGTCTCAAACTACTGAGTTCAGGCAATCCTCCTGCCTAGGCCTTCCAGAGTGCTAGGATTACAGGCGTGAGCCACCACACCTGGCTTTAAAAAAATGTGTTAAATATTATGGATTAAGTTTTAGTATAGGCTTGGTGCCTGTAGCTCAGTGGCTAGGGTCCCAGACACATACACTGGAGCTGGCAGGTTCAAACCCAACCTAGGCCTGCCAAACAACAATGACAACTACAACCAAAATATAGCCAGGCATTGTGGTGGGCGCCTGTAGTCCCAGCTACTCGGGGGACTGCGGCAAGAGAATTGCTAAAGCCCAAGAGTTTGAGATTGCTGTGAGCTATGATGCTACAGTACTCTACCAGGGCGACATAGTAAGACTCTGTCTCAAAAAAAAAAAAATAAAATTTAGTAGAAACATCTTTTGTAAAACTTCAGTTAATTTAATAAGTATATCCTTCAAACAAAATAAATAGAAATATTTATAAGGTTAGCAATACTCTAAGTGACACATTAATGTAGGATATCCCGTTCATTAAGTCATTTGATGAATATTTACTAACTCCCACCATGTGCAAGCTCTGTACTAGATTCTAGGGACACAGTAATGAACAACACAGATTTACTAAGAGAAGCAAGTTGTGAACAAGAAAGTTCCTTTTTAGGCATCCATTTTTCTTCCCATCATAATCCTCCAAATGATTCCCTATCTACCCAAACTGCCCCTTTGAAAAACCATTTACAAGGGGTGTATCTCTACCTACTCTAAATTTCTACCTTCTCCCCCCTCACCATATCTATAGCCAAGACCAGCCTATCCTTATGTTTGGGGGTTTCTAAGACCACCCTCAGATTCAGTGATTCACTAGAAGGACTCAGAGAACTCGGCAAAACTGTTTTATTCACGGTTACGATTTATGACAGTAAAAGTACAGTAAAATTTACTTTTGATCACCTTGCCCCCTGGCCTCTGCAGCATAGCGGTGTGCTTTCTCAAAACCAGCAAGGGAAATGACACCTGTGTCAGGCCTTCTCTGAAGTGGTGTCCCCTCCTTCCAGCAATCCGCTCACCCTGCTTGGCTGTGTTATTAGATGACCTCTCAGACAACACGATGCTTTCACTCAGCAAAAAGGTAAATGTCCCCAGAAAGCTCCCAGGAAAGTGAGTAGCCTTCTTGTGCCTGCTGCTACTCTTAGATGGGTCAGCTTTGATCTGATCAAAACTAGCTGCGCACACACTGTCAGGTCAGACAGAGTGTCAGTGAAAGATGCAGTTCCTGTTGAAACCAGTTCTGTATATACACTCTGGGAAAATATCAACTGTGACTTCTTTCTGGACAAGAGGAGGAACACTACAGGCAAAGCAAACTGGATATGCAAACGTACATGGTGTGCCAGGCTTGGTGGCTTGCATTTGTAATCTAGCAATTTAGGAGCTGGAGGTGGGAGTATCACTTGAGCCCAGAAGATTGAGGCTGCGGTGACCTGCGATTATGCTACTCTACTCTAGCCAGGACAACAGAGCAAGACCCCAACTGTATTGTTGTTTGTTTGTTTGTTTTGAGACAGAGTCTCATTATGTTGCCCTTGATAGAGTGCCTTGGTGTCACAGCTCACAGCAACCTCAAACTCTTGGGCTCAAGTGATTCTCTTGCCTCAGCCTCCCAACTAGCTGGGACTACAGGCACCCACCACAACACCCAGCTATTTTTTTGTTGCAGTTGTCATTGTTGGTCAGCTGGCCCGGGCTGGGTTCAAACCCTACCAACTTTAGTGTATGTGGCTGGTGCTGTAACCACTGTGCTACGGGTGCCAAGCCAGACCCCAACTTTTAAAAAAAAATTTTTTTAAGTACATGGTGTGAGGTAGCTAAGGTAGGAGAAGGAAAGTTAGACTGAGGCACAAAAGAGTAGAGAAGTAGAGAAACTGAACGGGAACGCTGATAAATCTCAATCAGAGAAGTAATATAATCTGATTTGTACTAAAGTTCATCTTAGCAGAATTGGGAGAATAGATAGGGAGAGGGTTCTGACTAGAGACAGAGAGGTGTTCATGGGAAATGCACATGATGAAAAAAAGCCTGTGTGGATTTCAAACAACTTTTGCACCCAAACTTACTATAACATATCTAGTTTGAGGCACTAAGAAAGACAAGAGATCAGTTTGAAAAGAGCCCCATCATGCCTTCTGCTAAAAGTAAAGCAAGAACAAACATCAAATTTATGGTAAAGCTTGGGTAGAAGAATGGTGAAATCATTGATGCTTTACCCAAAGTTTATGGAGCTGATATCCCAAAGAAAGCAGCAGTTTACAAATGAATAACTCATTTTAAAACAGTAAAAGGTAAGGTGTGTGGCTTTTTTTTTTCTTTTCCGGTTTTCCTTTTGTTTTGTTTTGTTGGAGACAGAGTTTTGCTCTGTTGCCTGGGCTAGAGTGTGGTGGCATCATCATAGCTTACTGCAACCTCAAACTTCTGGATTTCGTGATCCTCCTGCCTCAGCCTCAGGAGTAGCTGGAACGACAGGCGCCTGCCACCAGGCCTAGCTAAGACAACATGAAAGATGAAGCCTGAGGTGGCTACCACTCACACCAATTTGCAAGGACAAAAATTCATCTTGTTCATGCCCTAATTGAAGAGGACCAACCATTAACAGCAACAACCATAGCCAACACCATGGCCCTATTTCTTTTTTTTTCCTTTTAGAGACTGAATCTTACTTTATCACCCTCAGTAGAGTTCTGTGGCATCATAGCTCACAGTAACCTCCAGCTCTTGGGCTTAGGCAATTCTCTTACCTCAGTCTCCCAAGTACAGGCGCCCGCTACAACACCTGGCTATTTTTTTGTTGCAGTTTGGCTGGGGCTGGGTTTGAACCTGCCACCCTCAGTATATGGGGCTGGAGCCCTACTCACTGAGCTACAGGTGCCACCCCATGATAGCCATTTCAACTGTCTCAACTTACACAATTCTGGTTAAGAAAGTAAAGCTGAGCAAACATTGCAAAAAAAGAACCAGAAGCAATAACCTTCCTTCCCTACTTTCAGGGTTCCCATGCTTTGGCTCTAATTTGGGGAAATTATGTGGCCAATAGATTAAGCCCCACATTCACAGGGGCCCCATTATTCAAACTGAGAGATGATATCTAAACAAAGAACCCATGCACGCTAAAACCCTTGACTCCAAATTCTGAATCTTGGCACAAAAGGCCAACGTCAAGGTAACTCTGGATGAGAAGATAAAAGGTCCATAATGCAGAAAGTGAGGGCAGAGAGCCTCAGAACCTGGCACAGAGAGAGAAGCCCTGTCCCTGTGTAGGCAATCCGAGGCCACTGTACTAAGTGGGGACAAACACCACCAGTCAGATAAAAAAGAGTACCTTGTGACTTTAGAGCTAGCTGTGTCCTATCACAATGGAAGACCAGGGCCTGATCTCAGCCTGGGACCTTATCAAAGGGTAATAAGAAGGTCAGAGACTTGGGAGTGGAAAAGTTGGGCCTGGTCCCAGCTGTGCCATGACCAACTGATTGGCCCTGGACAAACCACCAACCCTGTCCTGGCTTCTGCTTCCTGTGTGTTAAGAAGAAAATAATAATATCCATGATGCAGCATGGCCTTGAGGCTCGGAGAGCCAGTCAGATCATGGGGTAGAATTCTACTTGCCCCTGTTTTAAAGGACATGTAGAGAAATTAAGTGTGACTCTTGAGATGTTATGCATGATATTAAAATGCTGTTGTCATCACTGCTGTGGTTATAATCACACTTGCATTTTCCTGACTTCCTTACCTACTTCTTTATTTAATTATTTTGGCAATCTCGTGAGGAAGGTTAAGAAGGGCAAATAGTAATTGGCTCCATTTTATATGGGAAAGACGCAAAGACAGGTTAAAGGCACTGTCAAAAGTGGCCTGGCTGGTTTGTGCAACAAGGCTTTCTGCTCAATCCAGTCCAACAGAAATGAATTTCCACATTTTCAAAAAGTGCTGATCCTGACTGGGGTCCTTCTTTAAGCTTAAAAAACTTAGGAAACATATCAATTGATAATGGATATGAAGGTTCTTTTTGGGCAGATTAAAATAGCCTAAAGTTAGATTGTGCTGATGGTTTCACAACTCTGTGAATATGCTAAAAGACGTATTTGTAAAGTTTAAATAAGTGCATTTCATAGTATAAAAAGTATGTTTTAACAAAGCTGTTTTCAAAAAGGGCAAACTGATTTTTTTTTTTAAATAGACAAAGCTACACTATTACGGCTACCGATGCATACTGGGGTGAAAACACCTCTAAAGAACTGCCAGGGGGTGATTAGTGTGAAAGTCAGGATTCCTTTCAGGTAGAAGGAATGCTTTGTGATTGGAACTGTACACATGGGGGGCTTCTGCTGTGGGTAGTGGGTTTTATTTCTTGACCTGAATGGCCGTTACAAGGGTGTTTACCTTATAATTACTCATTAAGTTCTACATGTGTTTTCTATAGTTTCTTGTTTTGTTATATAATAAGATGATTATGAAAAATGGAAGAAATCAAGTATGAAATGATGCCTGTGCCAGGCATTCTCTGCAGTGGTTCCCAGAAACTCTACTTGCTGGTCCTACCTACTCATGGCTTTATGTAATCCCCTCCCCTTGAGTGTGGGCGGGACTTGCAACTTGCTTCTAACCAATAGAATGAGCCAAAGGCAACAAGAAGTTTGCAATTACAGTGTTAATGTGATTATGTTATATAAGGTTGTGTGTCCATCTGCTAGGAGATGCTCTCCTTTGTTGGGTTTTTTTTTTGTTTGTTTGTTTGTTTTGAGACGGAGCCTCAAGCTATCCCCTTGGGTAGAGTGCCATGGCATCACGCTCACAGCAACCTCCAACTCCTGGGTTAAAGCGAGTCTCCTGCCTCAGCCTCCCAAGTAGCTGGGACCACAGGCGCCCGCCATAGCGCCTGGCCATTTTTTGGTTGCAGCCATCATTGTTGTTTGGCGGGCCCGGGCTGGGGATTCGAACCCGCCACCTTAGGTGTATGTGGCTGGTGCCCTAGCCACTTGAGCCACAGGCACCGAGCCTCCCTTGTTGGTTTTGAGGAAGCACACAGCTATGTTGCAGAGCCCCAGGGGTTAAGGTGGTCTTTATCTGGTAGCTAACAAGATACTGAGGCCCTCAGTCTGATGTCCTGCAAAGAACTGAATGGTGCCAACAACCATGTGAGTTTGGAAGCAGATCCTTCCCCAGTTTAGCCTGAGGGCACTGAAGACCTCAGCTGACATGTTGATTGAAGTTTATGAAACTCCAAAGCAGAAGCCTCAGCTGAGCTGTGCCCTGTCTTCCGACCCATAGAAACTGCTAAGTCGTGGGAGGCGCCTGTGGCTCAGTGAGTAGGGCGCCGGCCCCATATACCGAGGGTGGCAGGTTCAAACCCAGCCCTGGCCAAACTGCAAAAAAAAAAAAAAGAAAAAAAAAAGAAACTGCTAGGTCGTAAATGTGGAGTTTGTTTGTTTGGGGGTTTTTGGGAGACAGAATCTTGCTCTGTGGCCTACTCTAGAGTGCAGTGGCATTCTAACAGCTCACTGTAGCATCTTACTCCTGGCCTCAAGAGACCCTCCTGTTTCAGCTTTCTGAGTAGCTTGTGCTATAGGTTCACGCCAACACACCCAGCTAATTTTTCTATTTTTAGTAGAGATGGGGGTCTCACTGTAGCTTAGTCTGGTCTCAAACGCCCAAGCTCAAGCGATCCTCCTGCCATGGCTTCCCAGAGTGCTAGGATTACAGGTGTGAGTTACCGTGCCCAGACATACATGTGTATTTCTTTAAATCACTGTGTTTGTGGTAATATTATCATGCAGCAATTGATAAGAAACACATTACCCTTATCTTTGGGGGTTTCTAAGACCACCCTCAGATTCAATGATTCACCTGAAAGACTTGGAGAACACGGCAAAACTGTTTTATCCGCGGTTACAATTTATTACAGTAAAAGTACAGTAAAATTTATTTTAGATGAAAATCAGCAATGGAATAAGGCACACAGGGCAGGGTCCAGGAGAAATTCCACTTATCCTCTCCCAGTGCAGTTATGAGGACAAGGCATAACTCTCCCCGCAGTGATGCGTGGCACCATGCCTGGAGAATCGCCAACCAGGAAAGTTCACCCAACCCTTGACATCCAGGGCTTTTATCCAGGGGTCACTCACGTAGGCACGCCTCAGTCTGCAGCCCCTACTCAGGACAAGCTGATACTGCATGGCCCATGGAGCCCAGGTAAACAAAGATTCTTTAATCAACCAGAATATTCCAAGGGCTTAGAGATCATTTCCCATGAGCCCCGCAGGGCCCCAGTCCTTTCTTTGGAACGTACAGGGTTCAAATACCCTAAGTGCAACTGCTAAGCTATCTAGTACTGCTTATAAAAATTAACCTATTTTTTTTCTTTTTCTCCTTCCTTCATTCTTTTCTTGCTTCTTCCCTCTCTTTTTCTTTTTTTTCTTTCTCTATTTCTCCCCTTCCTTCTTTCCTTTATTTCCTCCCTTTTTTTTTTTTTTTTTTTTTTGGACAAAGCCTTGCTCTGTTGCCCAGGCTAAAGTAGGGAGGCATGACCATAGGTCACTGCAACTTACAACTCCAGGACTCAAGTGATCCTCCTGCCTCAGTTTCCCCAGTAGCTAAGACTACAGGGATGTGCCACCACACTGTGCTAATTTTTCTTACTTTTTGTAGAGACAGCATCTCACTATGTTGTCCAGGCTATTCTCAAACTTTTGGCCTCAAGCAATCCTCCTCCTTTGGCCTCCCAAAGTGCTGAGATTTTGTGCACAAGCCACCCCCCTAGCTGAGAGGATTAACTTCAGAGAGGTATTCTTAAGAGACCCCTGAGGAACTCTTACATCTTTACTTGCTTTATGATCAGGGAATTTCCAGGATGTAAGCCATACAGCCAGAAGGCAGGGTGTAGAGGAAAGGAGGCAGAGACCGTGCACTCATATAAAAGTTTCTCCTGATTGGCTGCAGAATAGAAGGCAAGCTTCCCCTCCTTGAGGTCCAACCAGATGCCTACCACGTCAGGTCTGTCTGAGCCAAGGACAGTTTTTTTGACCATATGCCATGCACAGAGTTGACTATTCCCCTTCCACTCCACACACCAAGAGTCCATAGTCCTTCCCAGGATCTGGTCACGGCTCATCCCCCAGGAAGCCACTCCAACTGCCCAGTGGCTACAACACCTGGTGTCCACCTCCCAGTACTGCTGCCCAGATGAGAAGGCCTGGGAACATAAGACCTGGCTAGTTGAAAATCTCTCACAGTTCCAGGGATAGGGCTGTTGGCACTGAGACACAGTCACTGTCTGGAAATCCTTGGATACCTCCAGGCGATAAGAGATGGTCCGCAGGTCAAAGGTTGGATTGATGGCCCCTGGGAAGGGGAAAAAAACCAAGAATATAGCTGATAAGCTTCTGACTGTCCATGCTAAGAGGTCCTCAAGTAGCAAAAGGCAGCTTTGTTATCTTTTAGGCATGATATTGGCATTAACATCCATATACCAAACTTGAAATTTTCTATACTTTCCCCTCAGGTTGTGATATCAACAATATACCTTTCCCATCTTAATTTTTACCTACCCATAAGCCATCTTCTAGGAAGCCCTCTCTAAACCCCATCAAGGAAAAGCCATCTCTTGCTTGTCTCATTCCTCCTATGGCTTTATGTATTTTCTCATGACATCATCTTCTCTAGCAAGCTGATTTATGACCATGGCTATTTATACCTCTCTAGTCGAACTGAAGCTTCCTGATGAAGGGCCCTATCTTTTTCACTTTGCAGATTTCATACTGTATCTTACTGTGAGTACATAATTGCTAACACTTACAGAGCATGACTACTCCAAGCACTTCACACATATTCACTCATTTAATTCTCGTGGCAACCCCAGCAGAGAGGTACTAATATAATACTGTATTATTATCTCCATTTTACTGATGAGGGAATTAAAGCTCTAGGAGGTTAAGTGACTTGTCTGGGAACACACAGAGCTATTGGGAGCCAGACCCAAGCAGTCTGGCTCCAGAATCCATGCTCCTAGGGAGCAGCTCAGACTGGGACAGCAGCGGTACCTCAGCAGGGTGGGGGATAGGCAGTTAGGTATAATTGGTGGCCCCAACACAGATGTCCAAAATTTGCCTGGGCTAGGAGTGCTCATGGGTCTGGCTGAGCCTAGAATTTGGGAGTCTCAACCTGCTTTGCCTTTGTGATCAGCTCCCCCTGGGGAGGAAGCTGGTCTGGGGAACAAATCCAGGGGCTGTAAGCCAAGGAGAAAGGGAGAGGCCTGAGCAGCAGCAGGATGGACACAGCATATTCTTTTTCTCTTTTTTTTGAGACAGAGCCTCAAGCTGTCACCCTGGGTAGAGTGCCATAGAGTCACAGCTCACAGTAACCTCTAACTCATGGGCTTAAGCGATTCTCTTGCCTCAGCCTCCCAATAGCCAGGCGTTGTGGTGGGACTACAGGTGCCCATGACAATGCTTAGCTATTTTTTGGTTGTAGTTGTCATTGTTGTTTGGCAGGCCCAGGCTGGATTTGAACCCGCCAGCTCTAGAGTATGTGGCTGGCACCTTAGCTGCTTGAGCTATAGGTGTCGAGCTGACACAGCATGTTCTTACAGCTCCTCTCTGTAGTAAGCCAAGCGCAAGTTGTAAGGGGACCACATACTTACATTGAGCAAACCGAGAGGCCCTCCTGGGTGCAAGGAGGCCCTGGTCAGGAAGTGGGCATGAGGAGGAAGATGGAGCTTCTGGAAGTTCCACTATGGAGTCAGAGAAATCGGAAGGAGAAAGTCCCATCAGAAAAAGGCAAACTCTGGCCAACAACAAACACATGAAAAAGTACTCATCCTCCCTAATCATCAGAGAAATGCAAATCGAAACTACTCTGAGATATCACCTAACCCCAGTGAGAATAGCCTACATCACAAAGTCCCAAAGCTGCAAATGCTGGCGTGGATGTGGAAAGAAGCGTACACCACTGCACTGCTTGTGGGACTAAAGACTAATACAGACTCTATGGAAAGAAGTATGAGACTCCTCAGAGAACTAAAAGTAAATCTTCCATTTGATCCCACAATTCCATTACTAGATATGCACCTACAAGAAACAAAATAATGTTACCACAAGGACATTTGCACTAGAATGTTCATTGCAGCCCAATTCACATCACCAAGATGTGTAATCAACCCAAGTCCCCATCAACTCACGAATGGATTAATCAACTGTGGTATATGTATACCAGGGAATACTATTCAGCCATAAAAAGACAAAGACTTTGCATCTGTTGTATTTGCCTGGATGGAGTTAAAGAACACTCTTAGTAAAGTATCACAAAAATACTTTGTGATCAGCAAGTATCCAAGGTATACAATACTAATATGAAACCAATAGATAAACAACTACACCCCACATGACAGAAAACCATGATTAAAGTCAAGTGGGAGGGATGATATAAGGGTATACAGCATATCCCTTGGATGAAGGGCTCAACTACAACTTGAACTTTTCCTTAGAAATGCAAACAATGTAACCTAACAATAAAAACAAAATCAATGTAACCTAACATTTGTATCCTCACATAAATCTGAAATAAAACAACAACAACAACGACAACAAAAGTTAACTGAAAGCATCCGAATGGAGGCAATCCTTCCACCTTGTTGCCCAAACTGCTAGGATTACACACATGAGCCACTACACCCAGTTCAGAAATTATATTTTAGTAGACGATATAAATAACTATTTACAAAATTGCAAGTTTTTTTTTTTTTTTTTTGACAGAGCCTCAAGCTATCCCCCTGGGTGGAGTGCCGTGGCTTCACAGCTCACAGCAACCTCCAACTCCTGGGCTCAAGCGAGTCTCCTGCCTCCACCTCCCAAGTAGCTGGGACCACAGGTGCCTGCCACAACGCCTGGCTATTTTTTGGTTGCAGCTATCATTCTTGTTTGGCGGGTCCAGGCTGGATTCGAACCCGCCACCTTAGGTGTATGTGGCTGGCGCCTTAGCCACTTGAGCCACAGGCACCGAGCCAAAGTTGCAAGCTTTTTAATAAAGACATTTGCTAGTTTAAAATGAAAACTCAGCCTCCAGGAAGAGAACGCAGATGATCTGTAACGTTCTGGCTTTATGAGTTGTAGAAAATGGGTTTCCATCTATTAAGGGCCACACCACCATCATTTCCAAAAATGTATTCCGCCATAAAAACACCTCGGCCCACTCTGACGTGATTTACAATGCCACAGTGGGGCGGTGCCTGGGGCTCAAAGGAATAGGGCGCCAGCCCCATATGCCAGAGGTGGCGGGTTCAAACCCAGCCCGGGCCAAAAACAAAATAACATAAATAAAATAAAATACAATGCCACAGTGGTAATGCAACTAGGTTCTGGGTTGTGTCTGCAAAGAACCAAGCCATGGAGCACTTTGCCATTTCCCCCAACTTCCATGTTTAATCCTCCTCCATTAAATAAAATCAACTCACCCTGTGTTTGTTCTTCAGAAGCCTCTTTCCATGTGAGGTTTTCTCGTAATTTTTCCTGAATTTCTTCTAGATCATGAAGAGCATCTTTCATTTTTTCTTCAGATGTGTTAGAAGTCACTAGCTTTGAAGAAAGCAAGGAAAGATCTACCTCAGAAGAAAACGTCTATTGATAAATCATAAAAAAATAAATGCAAGTCCCCTATGAGACCTATAAATATTATATTTAAGCTCTGTCATCTATCTTTAATTTTCCGTTTAACTCCCAGCAAGTTTAAAAACACAATTAAGTTCTTAAAGTGTATATACCTTGGAAATAAGCTGGAATAACACATAGTACAGCGAAAAATATCAGAGTGGAGGCTGGGCACGGTGGCTCACACCTGTAATCCTAGCACTTTGGGAGGCAGAGGTGGGTGGATTGCTTGAGCTCACAAGTTTGAGACCAGTCCAGGCAAAAGAGAGACCCCCCCCCATCTTTACTAAAAGTAGAAAAACTGAGGCAAGAGGATAGCTTGAGTCCAAGAGTTGGAGGTTGCTATGAGCTATGATGCCACAGCACTCTACCCAGGGTGACAGCTTGAGACTCTGTCTCAAAAAAAGAAAAAAAAAATCAGAGTGACTATTTCTACATGGCAGGATTATGGAGGATCTTAATTTGTTTTTTTTTTAATTCTATGTATTGGGGCTCGGCGCCTGTGGCTCAAGCGGCTAAGGCGCCAGCCACATATACCTGAGCTGGCAGGTTAGAATCCAGCCTG